AATTTCATTAAAATGAACGAATTTCATTAAAATCGGTGAGGTCGTTTTCTGCATAATTACCAAAAATAAATTATGTAAAATTGAGAAACGTAATCAAATAAAAAAATTGAAAAATACATATGTAGGTTATGTACTGTTATCTTTTTTGAAGCGCTTTGGCGGACCCATTATACAGATACCGAAATTTAAAATTCAGTTAATCACTAGATTACAATTTCTTCTTTTATTCTTCTTTGATATAGATGTGACCCCTTTGGGATCATCCCTTTTACTCCTAATCAAAATTTTATCAATCTCACGGCACGGAGCAAAAAGAAGGAGATTAAACTCAAGCAGCCGATTACAAAAAAATAGACTCGAAACCATAGTATAAGCACATACAGTATGAACACTGAGCGTCAGCACCTTTGATGTAGTGGGTCACATGACTCGCCGCCATGTTGTGGGTTGGAAAGGCGCTTATAAATTTGAGATTTAATAAAGTTACAGAAAGAAAAAAAAAACATAATTCGTAGTATCATGAAAATTATTTATAGCGAGTATATTTTTAAATCAGAATTATATAATAATATAATGTTAATGAACTCATTATATAAAGATAATATTCACATTAATAATAATAATATCACCGAAATACTATTAAAGACTCTGGGCAAATTTTTGGCGGTATAAAAAGTACCTGGAGGTAATGAAGAATGCTGATATTATCGACAATTGATATAAATTTGCTATTATTAACATAAATATTTGGCTTATGCATTATTAAATTCATGATTTTTTATTATATAAATGTTCCATAAATAAATGTGCATACTTGTAAAGTTATAACATCCTACATATTGCAGAAAAATTACAATATTTTCTCTGCAGTTATCATCTCTATTGATAATCGAATTTTGACGATACATTGAAATCAACAATTTTAAAGAAAAATCGAATATTATTGAGTTTTAAATGCATAAATATATATCTATTAAATTAATAAATCATAAAATGAGTACAATATTATCAGTTTTTAACTCTTAATCATTTCAATATTCACAAGAACGCGAACTGTCGTAAGGATGTCGGTCTTTAATAAAATAGTATTTTGTCGGTGATAATATTAAACAGTGATAAGTAAATTAAAAATAATAATTGATTAAATATAAAATTATAATTGAATAATTATATATAAAAAAATTATATATTGCATAAAAAATATTGTAATTAAATGTGAAGTTGTAATTTAATAATATACGTACAATACGTACACACACACACACACACACACACACACACACACACACAAATGCCTACTTTATTACAAGAATACTTTATCGTATACAAATAGTTTACACGATATAGTCTCTCTGAAAAAATTTGATTTAATTTTTTAATTTTATTAACTCTTTGCTCTACTTTTTTCTTACAAATTAAAAAAAAAATTAAGCTTTGTACGAATGACGTACTACGATTTATTCTTAGAAAAATGGACGTTGCTATGTAGTTTACATCCACTTTGCCAGAGGACAATAGTGCGCGGTTATAGGTTTTGAGCCGTCATGTCCTCTCTTAGGTTCCTCTCTAGTACAACCCATTCCAAGCAATTCCATAATATGCTCAGGAATATCGAAATATTAGAGAGAGACTGACAAAATATTAGCACCTGACAGAACTAAGGCACTAAAACAAATGAGTATTCGCATATCTGCCATTTTTACTCCTTTCGCTATTCTGTTCCCACTCCGCCGCTAAGTTAAGAAGATTATGATCGATTGTTATAAGTTACGATTGTTATAAGTTATAATTTCTAAGCTGTTGGAAACCTTCGTATTTATCGTATTTATATTTGTATCTTCGTATTTATGTATTTCCGCTTCGAAATTTTATCATAAAATTAAGAGATGAAAAGAAGGATATAAAAAAAACTGAAATATTATATATTAATGAAGGCAAAAAATTTATAAAATGTCTTGTTGCGTTGCAGTAAACTGTATTAATAAATCAGAAAAAGATATTCGATTATTTAAATTTCCTGCGGATAATATTCGTCGACAACTTGCTGTATTGCTGTAAAATAAATATATGATTTGTGCATAAACATCTACACTTTTTTGCAGATCAGAAATTTCAATCTTTTTCTTCAAATTTCTGACATTTGGCACCTTATTTAGAAATAACCTGAATGCCAGATAATGCCTCTTCAGGTCCTGCTAAAAGAACCGGCATTATGCGTTATGCAAGAATTTATGATCCTCGCTTTAGCGTTTACAGTGAAATGTCCGTGAACGACTCTAGCATAGCGTTGCTAGCGTTTAACATTCATCAAAATTAGATTAATGTGTTTGAGAAGATTCTGTTCTTGAGTGAGCATTAAACTTTTTTCTCTTTGAAATTTCGTAGAGTAAACGTACGTAACGTGTGAATTCCAAATTTTATCATAGTGAATGTCATCTCAATTTCAATCTCTGCAATTGATGGTTTGTCACTAGGCTAGAGTGAACGTAATTATTGCTTGTCTATTATCTTTAACTTTCCAAAATTTGTACAGAATTCGACTTATGTATTTGATTTTATTATAAATGTGAAAGTCAGAGGTATCTTGTTTCTAGCGATTTTTAATTCCCATGTACGGAAAAAAGTTACTATTGCGATATAGTGCGACAGGGTATTCCACAGATTCTTAAGGTCCTTATTAGATATAGATATTTCTTCTCAAATCGATAACGGATGCTTAAAGATCCTTCCTTTTATCCAATTAATTTACTTAGTGTAATTATTAATTTTTTTATCTTTACATTGTTCACTCCAGCCTAGTGACAAGTCATCAGGTTGCAATTGAGATTGCATTATATTATTCACTATTAGAAAATTAAAAATTTACATTATAAATACTTTGCAAAATCCTAAAAATTTAAAAATTATTACAGAGAAAAGTTTGGTCAGTGATTGAAAACAGAATCTCCTACATTAACTTAACCTTGACAAATATTAATATACTCGTATTCATAATTCTTCCTTGAAGATTCCTTGTTCCTCATTTCATAAACTTTTCTTTATCAAATAAGAAGCCTTATTAGTTTCCTCTTCTCAAAGGAGGTACGAGTTTCCTTGAAGAGATGCAGTTTTTATAACCAAGCAAATCTCCAACTTTATTTTATCACAGTTTTTTTACTTTCGATAACTTTTAATTTAGATCTGTTGAATCGATAATTATTTTCGATAGCTTTTTTTTCGGAAATAAACTGTGCCAAAAGCATTTTCTTCTTTTTCGTATAATAAGCATTATGGCGAATTCGACTAGAAGCACTAATGCATATTAAAACATATTATTTTTTTAATGCCATCTAATAGGAAAAATGCCACGAACTTTTTCCCATATCTAATATACTGATTTAATTTTAATATAAAAATAAAATGCAAATATTTCGAATTATGAAATACATATTTTACTTAATTGTGCAATAAAATTGAGTATTTCATGACTTAATCGATTTTTATGTTTATTTATAAACATATATTTATATTATTTTGTGTATGTACAGCGGTTTTAATGTGCATTAGTGCGCACTTAGTGCGTCCAATCGAATTCGCTATCAATTTTATTTTTGTCCATTATTGTTGCAAAATGCTTAATAGCGATTTTATTTAGTCAACAATTATTTAAAAACAATTATTTAATCATTACTTTATAATCTTTATTATTCGTAATTTACGATATTAGGTTTGCATATATTATATATTATGACATGCTGTCTTCAATAGATTTCTAAAATCTTTAAAATATTCCTTCCTTCAGGAAGACAGATTTAAGATCAGTTTATGAAACAAGGAGGAATTTTTCATGGAGGCTTCCTTCTTAAAATAAGGAGGGACTATGAATACGGGTGTAAATCTTTCTGGTTAGTTAAATGCTACCAACGCTACGCTAGGATCATGGAATTTTCTAACGCTCTATTGGCGCTATTGGCTTCACGAACAACATTGATAGCGTTTGCGTCCTTAGCACAGTATATACAGTAACGCAACTCTCTGTCGGCATTTTTGATGTGTTTTCCAAAATGATGTGCGCATGCGCGAAATAAGTAAGTAGAGCCATCTGAATTTTTTTTTTAGTTGCTCTTTATTTTTCCGCTCTCTCTCTCTCTCTCTCTCTCTCTCTCTCTCTCTCTCTCTCTCTAAATCGTTTATACATCAAAGTTTAATCTAAATGTAATAAAACTAAAAGAAATAGATTTATAATTAATGTGTAATGCAAAAATAAAAAATATACAAAAAATAAGAAAATTTAAAATTATATAAATGTTGTATGATACAAATATTATACTATAAAAATATTTTAATTAACGACTGCAGAACACACAGATGCTTGTTTCCTGTTAGATCGCTTGCGTTTTAGTAAATTATTAGAATTGCATCACACAAAACGCAGATTTTCTAGTTAAAACGAAAGCATATCAGTTGAAATAAACAACGTACTTAAATCGTTAATGGGAAATAATATTTAAATGGCCCTGAAAGAGAGAACGGAAAAAAAAAGAAGTGAGATAGAAGTTTAGATAGCGTTACTTATTTCGCGCATGCGCACTCCATTTTGGGAAACAATCAGAAAAGTTGCTACTGTATATACTGTGCCCATAGTACGAATAATGTCTCCTCGAACTCACTTCTTGGCTGCGTTCGATTTGGACGCCCACGTGCTTGAAGCACTTATAATCATCATTCTGTCTTTATCGTTCATTAATCACAAAATAAAAGTATTGAAAAGCATTGAAAGCGTCTAAATCGATCACAACCCTTTGTATATTTCCACTAAGATTTTAACTTTTAAATAAATAATGAGTAATAACTAAAATCTTATTTAAAAAATTACTTGGAATTTTGTCAAAATATTATAACATAATATATAACAAAATTAAAAACATTGAATCTGAGGCTTCATTTATACTTGGAGTTTTCTTTAAAAGTTATTCCAATAGTATAACAAACAGAATCAGAAATTAAATGAGACAGAAAAATTTATCTAGATTTATCTTTTATTCGTCTTATTTTGCTAATGACATTAACAAATTTTTATCAAATATTTAAAATCTAGTATCTTCAATAAAATTGCATTTTCTTAAAAGACATGATTTTTTAAAGAACTTCATAACACCATATTTCAGAGAATTTATCTTCATAATCAAGTAAGAAAGGAAATTTATTAAAATCTGGTTTTTTAAAAGGTTTTAACCACTTTTCTATCGAAATTCCAATTAATAAAATTTTAAAAGTTGTTTCGACAGATGGACGAGTAACAAGCAGCGTTCCTGGTCTTATTGCAGTTTTCAAACATTTCCATATATCTATTTGTACATCCCTCGATAAATAAAATTCAAATGCATTATTAATGATAATAACATCACTTTGCTCGATTATTTCTGGAACCTCTTCTATTCTTTTGTGCAAGATAGATATACGATTGTCCATTTTAAATTTACATACAATTTCATTTTGGAGATTGCAGAATTCTCCGTTCATTTCAACACCAATAATTCTTCTAGCATCTGTATATACATACGCCTGTAAAACAAAAACATCAATATGATTAAAAAATTGCTGTAAATAAAAACTTTCTTACCGCTTATTCAGCAATTAATTTATTAATAATATTATCACTTATGTGTATAATAATACATATTCCTAATATTCTTACCCCATAAAGAACTGCACCTAATCTTGATCCTATATCAAGTATAGTTTTGTTTTCCAAAGTAGGTAGTAGCACTTTAAATATAAAGTATAATCCATCCTGTGACATGGAGTGTGATAAATAAACTAAAATTATAAATATATTTACATAATAAATCATATAAAAAATAAAGAAAAAAATTAATTTTAATTTTACTTACTCAATGGTTGTACATTTCTAGATCTACAATCAGTGCAATAGTATCTTTCTAATTGATTACTATCTATGAGGTTATCAATATCTTCATCATTATAAAGGAATTCATCCATATGTAATGTAACACTAGGATCGCAATCTGAATTCTAAGACAAAAAATATGTTCAATGTTATTTTGATATTTTTCAAAAATTAAATACTTATTCTTTATATTCATTTATGACAAATAAAAACATACCTCTCCTGTTAAAGGAGTGATAAAATTTTCAGATGACAATATAGCATTAAATGGAATCTTTTGTTTAATATCAGAAGCAATAGAATTTAAAATACACATGGACTCATCCATTAATTTTTTATTATTACATGCATCATCCCCTATTAACAATAATTTTAATAGGAAAAATTAATTTTGATTGTGGGATTATTATATCAAATAAAATTATATGATTTTATTATTTTTAGTTTGATTATAAGATATTCATATCACTTTATCACAATCATAACAAAGAAGCTAAAAGTTAATCAAAATTGAATATAAAGAAAAATATAATTCATTAATTTATTTTAATCACTTTATTTTATAACAAAATATAACAAATTTATATTTGTACATATAAAAATTATAACAAACCTGAATCATTATAAGCCATAGATGGTTTAAGTTTCCATTCCTTCATAATAAATACTAAAAATTTTTGTTGATCAGTTGAGTTCAATGATCGCATCAATTCAACAAAACTTTGTTTTGCGTCATTTAAATCAATCGGTTTTTTACTCATTTTTTTTCACAAAAGTTCTAAAATTTTTCACCTATATGTCCGCATATAAAATTTTTTTGTTATAATAATTTTTTTGTTATAATAATAATTTAAATCCAATATATTTGTATGCCTTCATAAAATATAAAACGTCTCAAATTATTATTCACATTTAAAACATGTGTTTTTCTTGAAGTTTTTCTTTAGATCATATAATGTCAATTTCTGTTGTATCTATATATCGCGCTATGTATTGTTGGTGTTGTCTTAGCACTGAGACACTATCGTGTCTCCTGATTAAAACATGTAATTTTTTGAAGTGTCTTTCGGATAAAGACAGTTTGAAGTATTTTCAATCTTTTAGAGGTTTGTTCGCGTCGCACGCTCAAATATGTTCCTATTTATGACAACGCACCCCAACAATTCGCGTCACCGCCCCATGATGGAAGCAGAGAAAGAGAAGGCTCCTCTCTGGTGGAAGTATAATAGGTGTGTTCTGTGCCACCGAGATCGTAAACTACATTTACACGGTACACTTAGACCTGTTCTACAATACGTCGTATTTCGGCGGCAGATGTCACGCGTATTTAGTTATCGGCTGTCGCATAGAAAGAAATAATCGATCATGATTGGTTAATTTCTTACGGCACGACATACAACGTCTCCCGACTGATTATAGACTAGGTTTTAAGATCGGTTTCACCAATACCAAGTTAAGTTAATTGGTCGTTAACTAGTCAATCATATTTGCTGTTTAATAGAATTAACCAATTACGGTTGACAGTTAATCCCGATTAAGCTTAATCGGCGTTGATAAAATCGGCTCTTATTAATCGGGTTTAATAACATCCATAGTTATAAAATTGAATCAGAGAGAATGTAAGAACCAACCAACTACAGTCGAGTATTCCCCTATTACAATCGACAGTAGTTGGTTGGTTCTTACATTTTGATTCGGATTAAATCCTCGATAGAAACTAGGCCATTGTTGCGAATTTGTGTATGTTAGGGTAACCCTTAAATTAGTTCATTAGTTGCAAGCTGATCACAAGTTTATTGCGACAATCAATATGAAGCATTGATTTCAAAATGTAAGATTCTTATTAGCTATAGAGGCTTCGCACAATAAAAGGAATAGGGGGTCGATTCTATAGGTTCGCATGCCTATATATTCATGTGCCGAAATATGGCGATTAGATGTTCGCGTCACGTTAGAACACACTTAATTATGAGCACACTCTATTTGCCTCATCTCAGAAGGTGATATGATTGAGGCATATTACATGCCCTACGCACGCATGCATAATGGTTGAAAACGTACTATATCAAAAAAAGTATTTTAGATTTATTTTGTATAAAAATGCATTTTTATATAAAAACCCATTAATAAATGCGTTTTTGATATAAATATAAAAATATGATATAATAATATAGTATAATATTAATAAAATAAAATAATAAAATAAAATAAATAAATAAAATGAATAAAATTAGAAAAACTAAAAATATAAAATAAAATATTAATACAGTAAAATATAATATAATATAATAGAAAAATATAATACAACTTTTATATTTATTAAAAACGCATTTATTTTGTATAAAAACGCTTTTCAAATAATTGAAATAACACAAAATATTCAAAACGAAACGAGACACATGTCCGATCTGTTTAAGTGGTCTTACGGATTAGGTTAGGTGACAAGCTCACTTGTCCTAAATTCGTTCGTGTCACTGAACATTGGAGCACATGAATGCAACTGCTCCAATCGCAATCTTGTCTGTAATCCAAGTGCTCTCTGGATTAATTTGGAGCATGCGACGCGAACAAATCTTCAAACAAAGTGAAAATTCCAAAAGTGAACAAATTTACTAGGTGTTGACCAATGAAATTATCAGTATTCTAGTAAATTCGCTCACTTTTGTAATTTTCACCTCATTTCAAAATATAGAATCGATCTCCAAGGAACAGAGAACAGAGAATAAGAATTTCAATCTATCAGAAACTGTGTTCTACAATACATGATTTCTGATAGGTTAAAATTTTTATCTGAATTTTTCTCTATTCCCTATTCCCTTTATTATGTCCCTAATGTAGTATTTCGGCTTTAACCGCGCATGTGTCAAAAAACGGCTGGTTCACAACGCTGTCGATTGAAGCCTACTTTTCATTCTCGAGTTTGATCTCCTGCTTTCTTATTCTGCGAGCAATACGGTAGCCTTATTTGTCTATATTCATTTTAATGCAAAAAATGGCGGATTGTGAGGGTGCGTTTTGTATTTCTCTGTACTCAGTTGCATGTGTGTTGTGTAATTGGAAATGAAATAATATCGATTAAATATTAAAAATATTCTGTATTACATGATATAATATCATATGACATATAATATAGAACGTTTTTTAATGAAATTTCCACTTATGTAAAAAATCGAAGAGGCATTCACGATAATGATTTTTAAACTTTGTTTCTGTTTCATTTTTAGAGGGCATAGAGGATATCGATCATCCACCACTTGTTCTGAAGGTTGATCCACCTGAGGAGTTACTGGAAGATTTTACTGAAGATTCAACGATTAATAATTCAGCAACACCAACTGATCGGGATATATATGGTTATTCTAAAATATTTATATAATTTCTCATATAATTTTCCTATTGGCAAATGCGCATAACAATTAAAAATAATTATTTACCATAAAATGAGATATTTAATCATAGAATATGATAAATTCATGGATTTTGCAGATGAAACAAAACACTGTACAGCAGAGTCTAATGACCAAGAATCTACTTCAGCAGCTGTTAAATCTCTTAATAAGAAACATTGTAAGTTCGTATGATTTGAAAAGAAAATTTAATGTGATATTTTCATAATGTATTAGTATACTATATACTAATATATTATATGTTTGTAGGTTCTGTGCTAGCTGTTTCAAAATTAGAAAATTCATTTGGTATTAATGAACCTTTGAATCCTGTAACTAGTAAATCAAAGTCGTCTATACTGAGACCGTCACAATTGAGTGTGATAACCAATAGTTCTATGGGCACTACTGACAAAACTGTTTTACAACCTGCAAAATTTCGCAATCCATTTACAAAAACTAGTGACAATTCTGTAGGTGAGGACGAGTCCATAACGAAGAGCAATAAAACTGAAACAACTAAAGATTTAAAAAATGAAGAAAAATCTACAGAAGATGTAAAATTGAAATTTTTGCCTTTGGGTGCAAGCACTAAAGAGAATGAAAATAATATAAATAATTCTGTGGCATCCAGTACATCCACTCCTAGTTTTGTATTTGGTCAGAATTTGAAAGAACGTGTTACTGTTTCAAATGACATAGAAAGTTCAAATAATTCAGAGAAAAATGAAATGAGAAGCGAAGAAAGTCATGAAAATGGATCTGAACTTCTATTCTCAAATGCAGCTGCAAATTGCCGTACCATGGTAAGGCCAGGTTTAACATTGACTCAAGCAGCACAAGTATTGGAAGAAGCTAATCGTGCAAACAAAAGAAAATATAATCAAGTAACATTATTAACTGGTGAAGAAGGAGAAACAAATGTTCTTCAGATAAATTGCAAATTATTTGCCTTTGATAAGGTGTGTAGACCTTGAGAATAATACATTTTTTAATATTTGAAGTAATCTATATTGAACAGTTTAAATTAAATTTTAATCTATATTGAACAGTTTAAATTTTAAACTCAAATGAATTATAATGATACAAGTCTCTACAGAATATAAAATTTTAACTGGTATAAAATAATACAAATTTAAATTTTATATTCAGTAGGAATCTACAGTAGGAATTCTTGTATCACTACAGATTATTCCAACTAATATTAATAGATTATTCCAGTGTTGAATGTTAATCGCTGAAAAAAAAGAAAAAGAAAATCAATATCATTCTTCAAATTTAATTAAATTTTATAAATAATGAATACTCAATATAAATTAGCATTAAATTATACTTATTAATTTAATACTAATTTCATAGTTGCTATATGTTGTAGAGTACGAGCAGTTGGCAAGAAAGGGGGAGAGGTATGTTAAGACTCAATGATCGAGATGAAGAATCTCGTTTAGTCGGTCGTACTGCTGGAACACAACGTTTGATTTTGAATACAAAAGTATGGCCGGGTATGACTGCAGAACGTGCTGGATCTAAATCATTAAGATTAACTGCTATGGATGTTCACGGGGATATTCGAATCTTTATTGTACAAGCAGCACCTAAAGAAGTCGATCAACTGCACAGTCTTTTATTACAGCGACTTAAACGCGCGCAAGAACGCCATCCTAAGAAATTGGCAACAGACCATTGACAGCCATTGACAATTCTGACGAGGCATTAAGCATCAGCTTAATTTGTGCAACATAGAGGTCATTAAGATATGAAAGGAGTTAAATTCTTCGGGAATATTAATAAGACTATTTAGTATGCGCAATAGAATGGCTATGATTTGTGCCTTCCTCCAGAAGTTGCAGCTTTTAGTAGTTGCACCAGTATTTATTAAGAGGAGATTAAGTTGTGGCACTTAATATGTTTGACGCTCTTGTACACATTAATTTTTTTTTTTTTTTTTTTTTTTTTTTAAGAATATAAAAACTTGTTTTATATCCTTTTCAATCGATATATTCCCTTTTTTTATTTTAAATTTAATGTCATTTTAAATAAAAGGGCGTTAAAAAAAAAAAACAGATTAAAGCACATAATATTAATTCTATATGTTATAACAAATCTTAAAATAAATTACAATTAGTAATTACGATTCTTTAAAAAAATCTCAAGAATTTTAAAATGTTTATATATAGGGTGTTCAGCATAACATGATTTTTTAGACACTTCCAACAGTGAAAAAAAGAGTTGAAAAATGAATATCATCTATTTTATGCAGACTACAGCATGCGATAAAAGAATTAAAAAAAATTTTTTTTATAAAAAATCAGTCTTGAATTTTTTAAGTAGTATCATACAATTTTTTTCCATATTGTAGGGCTATTTCACTTTCTTTTTTCACTCACTATTTCACTTTTTCTTCAAGACAAATTCAAATCACTATCGAAATGTCATTTT